AATTTATCTAAAATTTATTAAATTTAAATCAAAATTTATCTAAAATTTACTAAATTTAAATCAAAATTTATCTAAAACTTACTAAATTTAAGCTAAAATTTGCCTAAATTTTTTATTATCAGAAAAAAATTCGAGTTTTTAAAACTAAAATTTTACGGGTCCCTGCTTATACTAGACATGTGCATTGGTCTGCGCCAGCCGAATTTTTTACGAAAATTTCGTGCAATTGTTGAGGAGTGACCTTCGGAAATAACGGTAGTCCCTCTCCAGTAAACCAAAATTTCTTTACACCCATTTCACAATATTTCGGTAAAATCACACCTAGACCATCTTCTAAGGGACCAACCATGGAAATCCTCAAACTTTCGAAGATATTCTCTTGCGGTTTATCAGCTTCTTCTGCCCTTTCTTGGTTAGAATAACCCACAATACCAACCTCTTCTTGAATTGCTATTATATCATCATAAGCAAATTAAATATTTCACCAAATAAAATATCCGTAGAAGCTTTATTGCCTCGGAGTGCCTCTTCTAGAATGGGATTACTATCGATGCTGAGATTTTTCCTGTATCGGTATTAAATCCCTTACCAATTCTAACAACAATTCGTACGAATCAGCAAGTGTTTTTCCCATGAGCTCGGAATCTGGAGGCACTGCTAATTTATTTGCATTGCCAGGTCCCTCCAGGACCCAACCAATGGTTACCAGAGCTAACATACCGAGTTTTTCCTGAATGGCTACTATATCCTTCTTCTTATATAAAAGCACTCCATAAAATTGAGCAAGCGTTTCGGTACTAATGTTCGCCATGATTGCTATAATAAAGTAATATATTTAATGCGGAAAATTTAGCAAAGCACCTTAATGGCTAAGGGCCGAGTCCGGAATACTGATCATCAACCCGGGATAGTGATCATCAGCTCGCTGGGCCACTCCTGTGCAACAGAAAAATAAATCTATTTTCCTTTCTTCCGGCCGGCACGTAACACTTTTTTTTTTTTTTTACCCGAGCCCAATATCACTATAAAATGACTAATATTGTAGACACGCCTATCTCCGGAAATGAGACGCTCACGTTAGCGAACGAAATAAAAAAATATGACACAGAGAAACTTATCTCTTTTTTGCAGGAGCGGGACTTAGAGCTTAGTGAGACGGTAATCAAAATTCTAGAAAAAGAGGAGGTTAAAGGCCAGGAATTCTTTGACTTGACACAAGAAATGCTTGAGAAATGGGGATGCCGGGTGGGCCTGCTGTGAGACTCATAAAGTTCGCCAAAGAATGTAAGGATAAGAAGTTGAAGGCCTTTTCAACATATCCATATCGTAGTTTGAAAGAAGTTCTGGCAAAATATGGCCTCGCTTCTGAGGGCACAGAGATTATACCCCTTTTCACACCACAAATCTACGAAGTCCAAGACGACAATAAGCATCTCGAACTGTGTATGGCAGATATTAAGTTACGACTTCAGAGTTATGGAACGTTGGTGGTGACAAGCTTGGAGTCTATGCGTAATGAGTATGACTCCATACCGCCCTTCGTATCGCAGAAGATGCCACGAAAAAGAAATTTAGTATGAGGCCTGTGTACGAAATAATTGGAGATGAGAGTAGTGGGCGGGTCAACTATGCAATCAAGGTAAGCCTTGTATTTTTTTTTACCACTCCTCCTAGATCTTATGTTATCCTAGAGGGACCCATTAACTTATCACAAAACATAAACTTATAGGAATTCGATGAGCTTATTTGCATCACAGAGGATAAGGTCCAGCAAAAGTTGACAGAAAGCTTCGCTCAGAATATAAAACAACTCGAAAGTTCATTTCAAACTAACAAGAGAAAACGAAAGCGTGATGAGGATTATTTTGACTATCTGTACGGGGCCGTGACATCTGCCAGGGATTGGCATTTTCTCCTCTATTCTCCAGGTGAAATTTTACAGGCGAGTAAGGCCCCCTTTAGCATCGAATTTGTTGAAGAGGCTCTGGTTGAGAACTCTGAAGAATATCAAACATTGCGTAAGGGCGTCAAGAAGGTTTTAGGTATAATCATTAGCTTGTTGGAAGATAGGGCATGTGTGGGGGATAAATCGGATAGAAAGAGAGCTAAGATAGAGGAATATCATTCAAAAAAATAGGGGTGGTGCTTATAATATGCTTTAAGCATTAATAATTCTAGCGTCTATTGGCTACAAGTAAGTAGTTGTATTGGAAGGAAGAAAATATACATACTGTAGATATTAGAATAGTCTTCAAAGATTATCAATATTATAAGAGGTAGCATTACCAACAAGCAACAGAACTTTTCATTCTTGAATCCAAAATATAGTTTGAAGATAAAAAGTAAAAAATAAAATAAATAAAAATAAAATAAAAAGATAAAAAAAAAATAAAAAAGTAAACCTTAAAAATAGAGAATTGCTATTTTCACCCCCCACTTTTGCTAATCCCACCCCAAATATCAAAAAGTGATCCGGAAGAGGTATTTTATTCCTTATTCACAAATTTTTGCCCAATAATGTATACTTAAGTTTTATGCAGAAATGCTTGATATACAATTATATGTCATTTACAATGTTGCAGGATTAAAAATTCTTTACTGTAAGTTGAATGTCAGATATATAGTTCTTAAAATCATATGTACAGTACATCGATTTTCCCTTTTACTTATTTTTACTTTTATATACTACATAATTACATCATTTATGTCATTTTCTATATTAATTTTTTATACTTCTCTTATACTTTTTAATTAATCACCAATTTATCACCATCACGCATTTGATCTTGGTTCCGATTATCCTACATTTCCTTACGATAACCCAAGCCTAGTACTTGTGTCACGTGAAATGTTCGTTTCAAATTTTCGTCGCACGGGTATACTTATACGTATGATCGTTTCATACTTACTATACTTATAAGTATTGTCATATTTCCTACTTATAAGTTGGATAGGTATGATTTTTAAATATACGTACGAGTATAAAGATCTAAAGTTGTACTACGCTACTACTTTTGTTTTGCATACTCTACTACTTTAGATAGGACTCGGTTTTTATACTGTATTATACAATTGGTATAATACCCGTATAATACCAGTATTATACACAGAGGGTATATGTATAATACCATAATTAAAAACAATTTAGCCAGTTATTTGAGGACACGAAGATTTCCGATTTAAACTAGAAATTTCCGAAAGATTCCGAAACATATTAAACTATATAGAAGCAAAATATTGGTAATACCGTATTATTTCTATTATACCGGTATAATAAAAACCCTGAGTCACGGTGTTCTGTCATGTAATTAATAATATATTAATAATATAAAATGTCATGGAGCCAAAATAGATACGTGAATATTTTTTCCACGCGAGTATGGTTTTACCTTTTTACTTTTTGTGCTTCTTTCAAACCTGACGTTTCCCCGGCGTGTAAATCCTGAGGGGTACTTCTTCCTCTGGTGTTGTTGGCAAAATGGCCAGATAGCGATTTTCAAGGGATATTATAAGGTTCTGGTTCTCTAAATCCAGTGTTTCCCCGTCTTGTAAATCCTGAGGGGTACTTCTTCTTTTGGTGTTGCTGGCTAAACAGCTATATACTGTGGCGATCTTATAATTATCCGGAGAAAGTTTTGGGTTAAAAATAAATGCCGTTTCTCAAAGTTATTTATTTGATTTACTTACTATATTTTATTTTTTATAGGCATTATGGTTCGTGTTAAATATCATTACATTTATTAATCATCATTTTGAACATTAATATACATATATTATCCACAGGCTTAAGTTGAATTTTTGAAAGAAATTATATACGATGAAGGCTTTACTGTTGTTCAATTTTATAAAAAAATAAAATTTTCTTTTTTTCAAAGGACTCAAGCAGAAGATGTTTTATACGAAGCACTGAAGACTCTCGCTTCTGAAAATAATATGAAGGCTTGGCAATTGTTAGTAAATTTTAACAAACTTATCAACTCTAACCCAGTGAATGCTTATTGGGATCAGCAATGATAGAAGCGAAACCCGACGTGTTGAAAGTATATTGAAAGAAAAAGAGGTTAGTATAAATTAATTGTCCGCATACTTAACAAAATCATAATTATTATTTACTTGCTTATTCGAATAATCTAGGATCAGGAAGCCTATCGAATAAAATCTAATGTATTAGACGAGCACATTATTGAAAGCAATCTTATATTAGAAAGAAAACGACAAAAACGGAAGCATGCAGATAAGGTTAATATATAATTTAAATTTATTTAACAAAAATATCTTTAAATCTTTCCACTTCAGTCATACAGTTTAAATATGTATTTTGATTATGAACACATTACCTTTTGCGATTTCTTTTAGGAGGGAGAATGCTCTATGAGGATGCTGAGGGATATTTCGCCTGTTGATTACAATGAAAATTTGAATGAAACTAACTTTCTGAATCAGATCATGAAGAGAAGATGGTTAATATTAAAAGGCCTTTATGTAAATTTCGGCAGGAGTCACATAAACGAAAACAAAGTGAATCTAATGTTGAAAGTAATGTAAGTTGATATCAGATGGATTATTTAATATGCAATATATTATATGACCAAAGCAATACGTTTGTTATTAGTATGGGAAGCCCTAATTTCCCCATGAAATACCATCTTCAATTGGGTAAACTAGATCACGCCACCGCAGCCGCAAAATTAAAAAAAAATTCAAATAATTATTAAGCGAAAGTTTATGCACTTTAAAATTCTTTCTTGTACTGTAGTAAAAAAAAAAAAAAATCGAAATAATCTAAACAATCTAAAAATTAACGAAAATAAGTGCTTCTGACACAACCAAGAAATTTTATAAGTCTTTTGTTCGGTACTTTATTCTCAAGAGAATAAAATTTTGTTGAGACCTACGTTTACAAGCTTGTAATTTTAAAAAATACCAAATCTGTTTCAAAATTCCTTAATTATATTCTGGCCGCAATTTT